AAGATTAGTTAGAAAGAAATATGGATTTGAAAGAAAGAAAGAAAGGATTAGTAAGAAAGAAATATGAATTTGAAAGAAAGAAAGAAAGAACAAAAGAAAGATAGATAGATTATTAGAAATAAAGAAAAAGAAAGAAAGAAAGAAAAATAGATGATAGATAGATGAAAGAAAGAAAGAAAGCAATGATTAGTAAGAAAGAAATATGAATTTGAAAGAAAGAAAGAAAGAAAGAAAGAAAGAAAGAAAGAAAGAAAGAAAGAATTAGTTAGAAAGAAAGATGGATTTGAAAGGATGAAAAAAGAAAGAAAGGATTAGTTAGAAATAAAGAAAGGATTAGTTAGAAAGAAAGAAGGAAAGATATATTGGTTAGAAAGAAAGACAGATAGTATAGTTAGAAAGAAAGAAAGATTATTTAGAAAGAAAGAAAGATAGATCAGTTAGAAAGATAGATAGTATAGCTAGAAAGAAAAGATTATTTAGAAAGAAAGATAGATTATCTAGAAAGAAAGAAAGATAGATTAGTTAGAAATATAGATGGGTTAGATAGATAGATAGATAGATAGATAGATAGATAGATAGATAGATAGATAGATAGATAGATAGATACATAGATAGATACACAGATAGATACACACATAGTCTATACATAGATAGATCATTATAGATCATTTGGACACAGAAAGTCAAATAGTTAAGACAGGCAGATGGATAGAAGAGGATAAAAGGAAGAGTAGAAAGGAGAAGAGATTATGAAAGGAGGGTAGAATAGGAGGACAGGAGGAGTAGAGGATTGGAGGAGGAGAAGAGGAGGGAAGAGAGAGAGAGAACAGGAGAAGTAGAGGCATAAATGCAACAAAAACTTGTAGTATCCTTCAGAAAAGAGCTGAGTGACTGTCCACCAATCAGAACACAGGACCAGTTATGTGTGTCTCCCTTTGATCTTTGCTAATCAGCATCACCTGTGCAATCAGCTTTCCTATTTAGACAGAGGCCAAAATTGCTGATACTTGGCCTCGAACAAACCTCAATAGAGACAAAACTATAGGTTGTATTGGCGAAATGACCTGACCGTGAGCGAGACAAGGCCTTTGTGAACGATGTGATGTATTTTTTTTGTGGATAGAGTTAAAAAAAGGGACCACTTTGGCAAGTTAAAAAACTGGTTTGTATTGCTCTGATCACAAAAGTTTGACCTGAATTTATAATTGCTGCCAATGGAGGAATGTCTGTCACTCTTGTCCTTTGGAAGGACACAGTGAAAAAACTATAAGTCCCAGGGATTTACTAAACACATGAGAGGAACCACAACAAAAATACCTACGTTTCAAGTATAATTTTATGCCCAAAGAGTGAAAATTGTGGCCAGGCCAGCGATTTAAAAATTATTTTTTAGCATTAGGTTTCAAGCTGGCTCACTCTAGCACGTGCTCTAGCTCTGAACAGTCTCTCTCATTCACTCCCATTACAATTTCAGAAACGGGTTGAAAAACATCATGAGACTAAAGTAGAGATTGTGAAAAAAGTATAATAGATATCAAAAAGTTGAATACAACTTTAATAGCTTACAAATTTCTCAACATTTTAAAGTTTAAATGACAGAAATAGCTGAAAGTATGCAGAAGTAGTAGGCTTTGAAAGCAGAAGGAGCATAAAGCAGAATTTGAAGAATTCTCCATTGACTTCCATGTTAAAAAAAATGCACAAAAAGCTTAATAATTTAAAAAGTATAAAGGTTATAAACAAGAAAAGTAATAGCACACATGTCCTTGAAAAGCTGCACATTTTGATACTTGAATGGTTTTTGTAGCACAAAGTAGCGAGGAGAAGAAAGCGACCGAAAAACGTACGGAAGAATACGGAATAACTAGAAAAATTGCATTTCCTGCGGAATATGCGTGTGAATGCTTCAAAAGCTTAACTTAAATGCTTAAACAAATGCAAAATATTGCAGTTCAAACAACAGCAAAACAGAGCAAAAAAGAAAAAAAGCTTCATTCAAATGCATTCAATAAGCTGAAATGCAAAACAAGATCCAAAAAATTGTACAAAACTAGAAGTTTACTTAGAGAGGTAAAGAGAGGTAGAGATGTAGACACAGAGGTAAAGAAATATAGGGGTAGAGAAAGAGACAGAGGTAGAGAAGTAAAGGAGTACAAAAAAGAAAGGTAGAGAAAGACAGGGGGTAGGTAGGTAGATAGGGGGTAGGTAGGTAGGTAGGTAGGTAGGTAGATAGATAGATAGATAGATAGATAGATAGATAGATAGATAGATAGATAGATAGATAGATAGATAGATAGATAGATAGATAGATACATACATAGATACATAGATGAAAGATTATTAGAAAGGAAGAAAGAAAGGATTAGTTAGAAAGAAAGAAAGAAAGAAAGAAAAGAATTAGTTAGAAAGAAAGATGGATTTGAAAGAAAGAAAGAAAGGATTAGTGAGAAAGAAAGAAGGATTAGTGAGAAAGAAAGAAAGGATTAGTGAGAGAGAAGAAAGAAAGGATTAGTTAGTTAGAAAGAAAGAAAGATGGATTAGAAAGAAAGAAAGAATTAGTTAGAAAGAAAGATGGATTTGAAAGTAAGAAAGAAAGAAAGAATTAGTGAGAAAGAAAGGATTAGTTAGTTAGAAAGAAAGATGGATTTGATAGATAGATAGATGGATGGATTATTAGAAAGAAAGAAAGAAAGAAAGATGGATTAGGTAGAAAGAAAGAAAGAAAGAAAGAAAGATGAATTAGGTAGTAAGAAAGAAAGAAAGAAAGAAAGAAAGAAGGATTAGGTAGAAGGAAGAAAGAAAGATGGATTAGGTAGAAAGATAGATAGATAGATAGATAGATAGATAGATAGATAGATAGATAGATAGATAGATAGATAGATAGATAGATAGATAGATTATTCAAATCTATCTATAGATAGATTATTCAAAATAAAGAAAAAGAAAGAAAGAAAGAATTAGTTAGAAAGAAAGATGGATTTGAAAGGATGAAAAAAGAAAGAAAGGATTAGTTAGAAATAAAGAAAGGATTAGTTAGAAAGAAAGAAGGAAAGATATATTGGTTAGAAAGAAAGACAGATAGTATAGTTAGAAAGAAAGAAAGATTATTTAGAAAGAAAGAAAGATAGATCAGTTAGAAAGATAGATAGTATAGCTAGAAAGAAAAGATTATTTAGAAAGAAAGATAGTATATTAGAAAAGAAAGATAGATTATCTAGAAAGAAATAAAGATAGATTAGTTAGAAATATAGATGGATTAGATAGATAGATAGATAGATAGATAGATATAGATAGATAGATAGATAGATACATAGATAGATACACAGATAGATACATACATAGTAAACATACATAGATAGATAGATCATTTGGACACAGAAAAGTCAAATAGTTAAGACAGGCAGATGGATAGAAGAGGATAAAAAGGAAGAGTAGAAAGGAGAAGAATTAGGAAAGGGGGTAGAATAGGAGGACAGGAGGAGTAGAGGATTGGAGGAGGAGAAGAGGAGGGAAGAGAGAGGGAGAAAGGAGAAGAGAAGCATAAATGCAACAAAAACTTGTAGTATCCTTCAGAAAAGAGCTGAGTGACTTTCCACCAATCAGAACACAGGACCAATTATGTGTTGTCTCCCTTTGATCTTTGCTAATCAGCATCACCTGTGCAATCAGCTTTCCTATTTAGACAGAGGGAAATTGCTGATACTTGGCCTCGAACAAACCTCAATAGAGACAAAACTATAGGTTATTGGCGAAATGACCTGACCGTGAGCGAGACAGTAGGCCTTTGTGAACGATGTGATGTATTTTTTTTGTGGATAGAGTTAAAAAAAGGGACCACTTTGGCAAGTTAAAAACTGGTTTGTATTGCTTCTGATCACAAAGACCTGAATTTATAATTGCTGCAATGGAGGAATGTCTGTCACTCTTGTCGTTTGGAAGGACACAGAGAAAAAACTATAAGTCCCAGGGATTTACTAAACACATGAGAGGAACCACAACAAAAATACCTACGTTTCAAGTATAATTTTATGCCCAAAGAGTGAAAATTGTGGCCAGGCCAGCGATTTAAAAATTATTTTTTAGCATTAGGTTCAAGCTGGCTCACTCTAGCACGTGCTCTAGCTCTGAACAGTCTCTCTCATTCACTCCCATTATAATTTCAGAAACGGGTTGAAAAACATCATGAAGACTAAAGTAGAGATTGTGAAAAAGTATAATAGATATCAAAAAGTTGAATACAACTTTAATAGTTTACAAATTTCTCAACATTTTAAAGTTTAAATGACAGAAATAGCTGAAAGTATGCAGAAGTTGTAGGCTTTGAAAGCAGAAGGAGCATAAAACAGAATTTGAAGAATTCTCCATTGACTTCCATGTTAAAAAATATGCACAAAAAGTTTAATAATTTAAAAATTATAAAGGTTATAAAAAGAAAAGTAATAGCACACATGTCCTTGAAAAGCTGCACATTTTGATACTTGAATGTTTTTGTAGCACAAAGTAGAGAGGAGGAAGAAAGCGACCGGAAAAACGTACGGAAGAATACGGAATAATAATAAGAAGATTTGATTTCAAGAGTGTGAATGCTTGAAGCATTCACACTAATAAGAAAGATTTGGATTTCAAGAGTGTGAATGCTTGAAGCATTCACACTAAATAGGATTTTCAGTAAGTTGGCTTTCTCAAGCCAACTTAATGAATATACCTGCAACAATATACAGATCTGGGGATTGAAAGAGTTGGTCTGTAAATTTGTAGACATAATAATTTCCAGGACAAGCTTTGACTTGGATTGGTCGGATCTGTAGCGACTGCACTGTTCATAATGGAGCCGTAAACTTCACGAGTAACAACTCCATCTTCTAGCCGAGGATGAGAGCCATCAAGCCACAGAGAACTTGAACCTTCCACATGCCATATAATTAAAACACCACTCAGGCATCTGAGCACTTGATCCATCAATGAAGAGCCGATACCAGCCGTCCCATTCTTATACACGAGTGTCATCATGATCGGATATGTATCCATAACTAGACCAGTAATTGAGTGTGCTTCTCCAGTAGTTGTCGAGTGTGTTGTAGTTATTACACGGGTCATAATCTGTTAGAGTGAGAGATGATGAGACCAAAACAAACAAGTTACATCTCAATGAGGAACTTCACGAGCGCAAATCTGAACCAGTCAAACACTGTAATAATGAGATTCATAAACCATTCATACACAATGCAACTGTGTAATAGTGAAAATGTTTATTGAAAAAAATCAATTTAAACTGTAATGCAAATCTTTAATTGAAAAGAAAAAATTAATTTTTAAAAACGCTCAAATATTCATATATATTATTTACAACTGACTCAAGTTGATGGTGGATCCAGTGAATATATCTGGACTCACAGTGGAAACCGCCTGTGAAATAGTGCTGACATCTAAAAAAGAAGGAAAATCATGTCATGAGAGAAATAATTTAAAAGGTTTAAAATACTTAAATAAATGAGAAAATCAACAGTACCTGTGCAGTATCCTGTACACAACCAAGCTTGATTCACAAGTTCATAGACATTAGTAATTGCCTGGACACGCTTTCACTCTGATTGGGTTTAAACTTGTTATCACAGCAGCTCCCCAATAAGCCCCTCCACAGATCTCCCTGATCACCACTCCATCCTCTATCTGAGGGTGAGGAATTCACTGAGCCACAGATTATAGTATGTGTTACAAGCTGTATGAACTAACGCAGGTCTCTGACATCCGGATGTCCATTCCATAGTAGAAAAGCGTACCAGCCATTCCAGGAGAAACCTTCATCACAAATTTCACCTCCACTTTCATTGTTGGCTCTCCAGGGACGATCCAGAGACTCATAGTTAGCAGGGATCCACTGCTGATGCTTTGGAAAGCAACTGTCATGGAGTTTGCAAAAGTACTGTTAAAATGTATTACGTCCTAAAGAGCATAAGAGTTTTATACCATAAGACCAGTTATGATGGTTAATTACATTACTTTGACTTCAAGCAATTATATTGTGGTGTACTGTCTGTCAGGCTAAAGTGAGGCAAGTCTCTGACAGAAACCTGTAGAACGGGACAGAACAACACCTGAGGAGGCTACATATGACAGAGGACTGTGGAGTAATATCACAATGTTTTCATATATATATTTTAGTTTACATATTAACTATTGAACAACTCACCTAAAGTGTGATTTGAGGAATTGTGTAACAAGAGATCTAGATGCTATTGATTAGTAACATAACCCACTATACAGAATGGCTAATGAACTTGCACACCACTGATTCTAACTAGTTAAAACATACTTATTTCATAAAACAAAAGATGTGTGTTTAAATTATCTAAAAGTTAAAGCGTTTTACACTTTATCATGACATAAAAAAATT